TTTTTTTTTTCTGGTACCGGGAATCTAACTCATGACCTTGCACTTGCCAGGCAGGTGCTGTGCCGCTGAGTTAAATCCCCAGCCCCCTCCTGCACTGTCTTGTATATCATTCTTTTGGTGAGCATTATACATAATCTTATAAAATATGTGTCCTGTATTATATTGTTCCCCTTGCAAAATGTCCCCCAAACTGACACAACTACATTTATTCATTTGCATATGTTGAAACATCCCTGTATCCCTGGGATGAATCCTACCTGATAATGCCGTAAAATCTTCCTGATAATGTGCTGCATTCTGTTTGCCAGTATCTTATTGAGGACTTTTGCATCTATGATCATTAGGAAAATTGGTCTATAGTTTTCTTTTTTGGTTGGGTCAGTCTCAGGTTTGGGTATCAGGGTAATACTTGCTGCCAGAAATGATTTTGGAAGTATTATTTCCCGTCCAATTTTATTAAAGAGTGGCAACATAAATGGTATTAGTTTTTCTCTAAAATTTTGTAGAATTCAATAGTGAATTCATCAGGACCTGGGCTTTTGTTTGTAATTTGTTTGTAACTCTTTTTAATTGCATTTTCAATTGCATTGACTGGTGTTGAGTTATTTAGAATATTTATATCCTCTTGAATCAGTTTTGGCAGTTCATATGTGTCTAAGAATCTGTCCAATGCTTCTGTTTTTTCCTTCTTGTTAGGGTACAACTTCTGGAAGTAGGTATTGATGACTTTCTGGATTTCTGCAGGATCCATTGATCCACTGTGTTTCCCACTTTTCATTCCAAATTGCTTGAATTTGAGTCTTTTCTTTCCTCTTTTTGAGGAAGTTGGCTCACTCAATCTTTCAAATAATCAACTCTTCAATTCCTTGATTATTTGCATTGTTTTCTTAGTCTCAACTGCATTAATTTCTGCTCTCATCTTTATACTTTCCTCCCTCATACAAGCTTTGGGTTTGATTTGTTCTTCTTTTTCTAGAAGTCTGAGGTTCAACATTTGGTTGTTTACTTGAGCTCATTCAGTTTTTCTGATAGGAGAATGCATCATTATAAATTTCCCTCATACAATCCTGGAAGACAAACACAACTCAGGAGGCATCACAGTACCTGGCTTCAAATTATACTACAAAGCTACTGTGATAAAATCAGCATGGTACTGGCAAAAAATAGACCTGAAGACCAGTGGAACAGATTAGAAGATGCACACAAGACTGCAAACACAGTCAGCCACCTTATATTTGACAAAGGAGCCAAAAATATTCACTGGAGAAAAGATAGCATCTTTAACAAATAGTGCTGGAGAAAATGGCTCCCCACACACTGAAGACTGAAACCAGACCCACATCTATCACCACGCACTAAACTAAAGTCAAAATGAATCAAACATCCTAAATATTAAAATAGAAACACTCAATCTACTGGAAGAGAAAGTAGGTAAAAATCTTGAAGACATAGGGATAGGCACAGTCTTCATGAACAAAATCCAAACTACATGGGAAATACTTCAAAGAATCAGCAACTGGGACCTCATCCTATTAAAAAGCTTTTATACTTCAAAAGAAATCACCAATAGAGTGAAAAAAACAACCCACAGAATGAGAAAGCATTTTAGCTAATTGTCCCTCAGACAAAGGACTTATATGTAGAATATATAAAGAAAAACTCAGAACCCCCAAATTCAAAGACCCAATCCAAAAGTGGGCATCTGAGATGAATGCACTCTTCTCAGATAAAGAAATACAAATGGTAAATAAATACTTGGAAAAAGTGTTCAACATCATTGGTTAGAGAGATGCAAAACTAAAACAATGCTGAGATTTCATCTCATCCCAATAACAATGGCTACCATCAAGAAATCACCTAATAGCAAATGCTGGAGGGGCTGTAGGGAAAAAGGAACCCTTCTCCACTGTTGGTGGCAATGTAGACTGATGCAACCATTTTGGAAATCAATCTGGAGATTTCTCAAAAAATTAGGATTAGAGTTCCCATTTAACCCAGCCATTCTCCTTCTGGATATTTTCCCACAAGAATTAAAAGCATCATACCACAGCAATATATGTGCACCCATGTTTGTAGCAGCACAATTTGTAATAGCAAAATCTTTGAAACAACCCAAATGCCCATTAACTGGGGAGTGGATAAAAAAATGTAATATTTTATACAATGGAGTATTATTCAGCTATAAAGAAAGATAAACTCAAGGCTTTTATAGGTAAATGGATACAACTAGAGACTATACTCATAAGTGAAATAAATGAAACCCACATGTATAAACATCATATTTTCTCCCTAGTGTAAAAACTTGAAAGAGTAAATAAAATCTGAAGGGTATATAGATATTGTGAAAGGGAACAAAACTGCTCAGTAGTAAAGAACAACTGGGGTGAGGGGAAGAAGAAAAAGAAAGAAAGAAAAGAAAGAAAGAAAGATGAAGGAAAGAGGAAATATATATACATATATATATAATAGCTAAGATAATTGTACTACTAATTTCTACTGGTTTACTGAAAGGAATAGTTAATGTTTAATTGTTTGATCATTGTTGCATATCTATATCTGGTAATCTGAGCAACTACTTTGAAGATAACAATAAGTAATACAACAATATTTGTTGATTTCTTATCATTTTGCTTTGAAATTCTGTGTTGTTTTTATAGTTTTGTATTATTTTGTTTTTGTCTTTGCTTTTGTTATTTTGTTTTTGTTTTTTTCTTTCTGAAATAAAAGAAATTTCCCTCGTAGGATTGTTGTCATTGTGTCCCATAAGTTCTGGTATGTTGTGCCAGCATTATCTTTTAATTATAGGTACTGTTTAATTTCTTTTTAAATTTCCTCTGTGATCCA